AATGTGAGCTGGTATGTTTATTCATCAGTGGCCCTGAACCATGAACGGCGCGATGTTGTAATGATGACGTTCAGTATGTCGTCTCATTTCCAGCACATGTAAATGCTTCATTTTTCTGTCTGCAGCATCTGCAATCCTGGAGAAGGTTGGAAAGCCAAACATGAAACTGCAGATGGTGGGTTCTTTCAAAATGTGTCTAAAGTGGAGACAAATAACGTAACAGCCGTCTACACTGTTTCAGGACATCTTTCACTGGCAAATAATGGATGGAAACCTCACACAAAACATTCAAAAGTATATTCCTGTCATTGGTGAGTATGCAAATGTTCATCTGGTATTAAAAACTCAAATCAGTTATAGCAGTCAAGACCTCAAATCGAATCCTTCTGGGTTAATATCTGCAGAGGCTGCCTGTCTTTCCTTCTCTTCTTTATTAATTTCTGCCGTCACTCACACTTCCTGTCTCTTCTATTCTGAAAGTGCTTGAAGTCGTGGGGGTGACGGCGTGGTGGCTTGAGTTAGAGCCAGGAAATGGCCATAATGCACAAAAACTGGATGTGCAGAGGGAACTGACTTACCCTGCTGCTGATATGAATCTGCTGTGGATGTGCTTTGCCTTTAAACAGCAGCTACAGAGGAAACGAGGTCCATCAGGTCGTTTGCTTCATCAGCATCAGATACTGACTGTAGGCTGCCGTAAATGACATTTTAAAACTTGAACCTTGTTATCGAACAGCATGCTTTTTTCTTTCTCAGAGGCAGACTAAAGGTATCTGTGTCTTATCACACAAGTGGCATTAAGGATGTTAATTAAAATCACCTTGCAGACCTCATAATCTTGATATGGACACTGACCTCTGTCAGCTGCACTCAGAGAGGCTGAGTTTAGTTCTGTTTGCAGCGCGACTGAAGTGTAGAAGTAACAAATGCACGGGCTGATTTTCAGCATCACTCTGACACATCATTGCACAGATGAAAGAGTCCTACGTGTTTCTTTCGTGTCTGTATTGAAGGACTAAAGCACTCCCAGGTCCTCCGTGTTACTGGAGGTAATCCTATCCACAGTAGGTATCTGGTCAGGCGCTGACTTCTCTTTATGTTGCCCAACACAAATTTGGGCAGTTTCACACATAAAACCTGGTTTTATGTTTCGTGTGAACACATCACAAGATGATAGGTTGTCACGTTTCTCAGGTCACGTCCAGATTGCTCAGGTTCCCAGCAGAAATGAGCCCGACAGCGCCGGAGAGCTCAGTTACAGCTACCTGTTCGACACACTGGAAAACATCGGCTACCAGGGTTATATCGGGTGTGAGTACAAGCCGCAAGGTGAGTGTTCGTGTGATTTAAGGAATGATTATGAAAAAGACTTAGAAAACAGCCGTAATTAACTCTCTCTTTGCACTGCAGGCTCCACAGACGAGGGGCTCGGCTGGATCAAAGAGTACTGGGCTCACAGAAAGTGCTGAGAGGAGGTGACGGAGCATAAAGCTGCCAGAGCCCGACGGACCTCCACCTGCAGCACCCACCTTTTCCATTTAACGCGGACTTTGCACAGACTCCTGTGTCCTCCTCTCTGAATCTGTTTCCACACTGTAGAAAGAAGTGAATACACGACTTCCTCCTCATCGTTGCTGGGTTTGTGCGTCTTTCTTCATCGGTGCACTCAGTTCATTCACAGCAGTGATTCAGGATGGCAATGTTGTTCTTTAAAAGTTCAAATCATTTTTTCCATAAGTTTCTTCGTAGCATCAGGTGGAAGGAACGTAGGACGGAGCAGGCAGAGCTGCCGAAGGCTCAGAAGTAGAAAATACTGACTGTGAGAGGCAAGCTCGACATCAAAGGTGTTTCTTAAGAAAAAATATCTTAGAGTAGCAGCCTGATGGAGCAAATGATTAAGAATTCATCTTTGAATGAAATATTTTGACTCCTGGTACGGCATTTAAAACAAATAACTGCAACATAATGACATTCAATAACGAACTAATGAATGTTATATTTGAAGTTTTGGCGTCTGAGAAAATGACCTTCAGGGCTGAAAAGTTAAAGTGCTGAAGTGGGTTTTCTTTCCGAGACGTGTAGCCGAGATATTAGAAAAATAAACTTTCCTTCGATGTAAAATAGTATTTTCAGAAATGAATAAACTTTCCAGTTTCCCCCAAACTGCATTAAGGTCCTCTCATATTTACAGCTGATTAAGTGCTTTGCTACTAGAAGAAGTCCAAGTAATGAAGTGTAAACGATTTCCTGAACATTTAGCTGATGAATTTGACAAACTCAGAGTTGGGACACATTTATATATTGAAACAAATTTCTGGTACTTTCATTAAGTTTATTGCTTAATGTAACAGAACCAGAGCGTTTATGCTGTGATGCGTTGCTCATACCGAGGCTTTGGCTCTAGCCACTTTGCTATTGTTAGCTCCTGTAAAATGTTCAGCTGTGTGAGTCATTTGAAGTGTCTGATCAGGTTTATTGTCCTGGCTACCTTCAGTTTATATTAAGAATAAAAGAAGGCAACTGTTTGTCCTGCTGTGAGGTTTAATGTATGAACAGACGCTCCGTCTCTGAGGTTTGCTGATACACTCCACGCTGTAATATAGAAACATACAATCATTCCTGTGGCTCGAGGCTGGTGAGTCCGCGGTGGTCGATCATCTCCGAGATGCAGAATGTGGATCTGACTCCACGGGTTTCGTGGTCTCGTGGTTTCTTTCAGCTCGGAGTCCTAATTACAAACGACACAATCATTTTCCATTGTGTCTTCTGGTTTGCTTCAGCGCGCAGCTCATTAGTGTTCATCGTCCTGACCCTCGTGGCCTGTAGACTTTACACCGAGATGATTTCATCCACAGCAGCTTTTGTACACTTAAGAAATATTTCCACACACGGAGCCACTGGACTGGTGCACACACTGATGAACACTCAGGTAAATGAATGGTTTAAATCTCACATTTCAGATATGTATCGATTATTAACACGTTATGTTAATAATCGATATGCCTCCACATGGACGCATTTCAGCCTCTTCGCGACGTATTTATGGCGATGGCGTCCTGTCGACTGAACGGTGAACCTGCTGCTTTGCTTTTGCACTCAAAGTTGAGAAAATGTTTTTCACGTGTCGAGCAGTCAGGTGATGCTTTGACTGGCTGCTTGTGCAGTTCAGCATCAAAACGAAGGAAGAGTTGATCGTTGCAGTGAGCAATCACTCAGCTGTGTACATGAGCTGAATCTGTAAGAGGCAGCTACCTCGGCTCGTGCCAAGTGCTAATTGAAGCTCAGCCAGGACCGCGTGAGCGATTTGTGTTGCTATGACAATTGCATCACCAGAGACACCCACCAGTCTTTATTTACTGGCGTTACTACGGTGCTCTTCCTCAGGTGTTAGTGACACGGACGTGACACAATCCACGAGCTTGTTTCTTTTTTTCATCTTTGAGGATTTTCTGGAGACTTTGTTCCTGTTGTTCTGGTGCACGAGTAGATTTGAGAGCTTGGTTGAAGGTTCTTGAAGATGTTCTGCATCTTATCTGAGGCGGTTCCCATAAAGTTATTCTGTTTATCTGGATGTGGCGTTTTCAGTGGGAGAAAGGTTTCTCACTCATCCAGGTGGCTTCTGCAGCCCCAGCTGACTGCAGGTTTCCCCTTATAAACAGGACATTTGCATACTGGAACTGTTGCATCAGGATGGGCAGCTGGCGTAAACTGTTGGCCAGAACATGCTGCTCATTGTGCAGAGAGCAAGCATCCTCTTTAAAACTCTTCCACGGTTTTCAGTGGACTGGTTATAATTTGGTTGGATGCTGGACGGTGAGCACTGAGACCAGGACTGTGCTCATAATTGTGACATTAATGGGACTGTGACCGAGGTCATTCCCAGGGTGAAACTGTGCACGTGGACTAATACGGAGACATCCTAGGGTAAATACTCAGCTTTTGCACTGACACAGGCTTTGATAAATGAGGTGGGTGCAAGCAGACTTTCCTCAGCGTGACTTCATCTTAAAAATGGAAATGAAGTCAGAGGATCATCAATTTGACGCACTGGAGGAGATCAAATATGTACTGCAGAGTGACGTCCGAGAGGACATACTGTCCGGGTTTGCACAAGAAATTATTTTTTAAATCTGCGTTTTTTCCCCTTCATTGCAGTCTCTAAACAAAAACACTAATAGTGGTGAAAAACAAATCTGTTTGATCCTGTTCTAAAGGATGCAGAGATGCGCGTGTGAAACCTGAAAGAAGCTTTTTCTATTTCATCCCAGCTGTTGCATTTTAACCCAATGACCTCTGATACACACCCTTAATGAACACATTTAAAAATAACACAGACATGAAAATGTGACATGGATGGCATGAGTGTCAAAACCACTCTGGATTCATTCAGTGAGACCACAAATCAGTACGTTTTACAGACATGAGCCAGAATTTGAATTGTTTTCACAAACTGGTGTTGTCACGCCTGACTGACTCATGCTGACTTTGGTATTAACGCCTTCATTAAATCTTTTACTTGCAGTGTTCCCAACTAGCTGCGCCTTCTTAAAATTATTCCCACTGACTGAACACCTGAACTATAATAAATGCTCTGACACACTGTAATAACAAACGTTTTGTGCTTTATGCCGATGATTCTGGCGTCTGCAGGATTGAAGATGCTAAAGCAGGGGCGTCCGACTCCAGGCCTCGAGGGCCGGTGTCCTGCAGGTTTTAGATCTCACCCTGGGTCAGCACACGTGAATCACATGAGTTCATTAGCAGCTTCTGGAGAACTTCACGGCATGTTGAGGAGGTCATCCAGCCGTTTGAATCAGCTGTATTGGATCATCTGAGACCTGGCGTTGGACAGTCCGGCACTAAAGTTTTGTCCGGAGCTTCTGTCACGACACGAAGCTGCACAGTGAAGAACAGTTCGGCACACTCTTACTCTGTAACTTGTTTATTTAACTTTACATACTGTATAAAGTGTTCTGTATATACACAATATACACGACACAGGTAGTGCAGGTTTTATTTTACAGGGCTGTCTGCTTACAGTTCACATTTTGCATGATGAATAATCCAGTGTTTAACATTCAGTCCTCTTCAGTTGGTGAAGCTCAGACCTGTTTGGTTCCCTCCCAGAACGGGTGCGACTCCTACAGGAGCCACACTGGACCTGTTGTGACGTAACAGTCCTGTGCCAGGCTGAGGTATGACTACCAGCAACACTGTGTGAGAGTACACACCACCACCCCAACATGCTTTGGAAACACTCGGCGCTGATGACATGTGGCATGTTATTATGCAAATCACCAAAGTTAATATGACCAATTTTCCTGCTTATGAAAGGCAATTTTTGTCACATTTCTCCAAACTGACTCAGGCACTTTCGCTGCATAACACCAGCAGTGTGTTTCCACACATCTCCTGCCAGAGCGACAACGGCATCACTTCACAGGTTTGGGAATGAAAAAAGGGAAAAGGGAGAAAATAATAAACAGAGAAAGGCACTTGAGGGCAACAGACATGGCAGTGGGGTTCAAGTGGAAACAGGTTTGACACAATTGAACATAAAAGCCTTCCCACTCTGCGCACCGGCATCTGGGCTGTCTCTTCTTGTTTTAACACTGATGTGGCGTGAAGCTAAATACTGTCAGAAGGCACGAGATCCAAACCGACGCTGAGACATTAGTGAAGATGTGGAGCTTCAAATTTGTGCAGAATGCATGTAAGTGCTGCCTTCTGACCACCGACTCAGGCTCAACGATGTCAAACAGCCGCTGCACGCTCACGATGTTTCTGTCCGTACATCGACGGCGTCCTCGCCGTGTCATATCCATCAGAATGTGTTAAAGAGCACCTTCCAGGTCGTCCACCCGTTCTACCTTTGTGCCTTTGAGCACCGAATGCTCCGAGTTGTTTCCAGATTGACAGATGGAGCTGCAGCAGCTTGTGGTGGTGAAGGTATGTCCTTACTCTCAGCTATGACACCAGCTTTGGTTGGTGACCAAAAGCATCCCATCAAAGCAGCAGAGCTCTTACGTCTGTGATGACGAGGTTCAGGTCGTCTCCTCTTCGGTGATGTTTTCTGGGCACGTCCAACCAGGAGGAGACCCCGTGGCAGACCCGGGACACAGCTGAGCTGTTCGGGAACGTCTCATTATCCTCACTTCCTGGAAGAACTGGAGGCAGCAAGGCATCATCAGTTTGTGGTGCCATGCTTACTAGTACCAGTACATTTTTAGGGAGGTGGAAATACGTGAAACTGGTTCTGGATTTGGCACGACGTTGGTGGAGGTTAAAGGTTAAAGATATGAGCCCTGAAAAGCTGCAGATCATCTCACCTACTCAGCTCAGACCGCCCCAAGTATTTGGACTGAGTAGGACTCAGTTTGATATATGCTACATATTAAATGATCAAACTTAATCTTATCAAGCACTGCAAATGACCTCGAGGAACCAGGAGCCAATGATGCTGCTTTGGCCAAATCTTCATCCTCAGCCCCTTTTTGAATCTGTTCCAGGATGTGAGATATTGCTGACACGTCTCACCTGCTACAAAGATCGAAAACATCACTTTTTAAACAGGATTTTGTACGTTGTGATTTAAAGGGACTGTCCCAACCCATAAGTGCATACAGCCTGCAGTTCTCTTTATCTGGATGTTGATCGCCCGTCTGACTCTTGACAATAGTGGTAAGGAAGGTGCTTTTGCTGTGGCGTGGTCACGGTGCTGTTTGAAGGCTCGTACAGTAACTGCGAGGGAACCCATCGTAGTGTCTGCTCAACTTTATGATCCTCAACATTTAAAACGGTTTCTTGCACATGAGTCCAGTATGTCGCTGCTCCCACTCAGTGAGCCCAGCGTTATGCAGAAAGCTTCTCTTCTCATTTCCTTCTGCTGTCGTTTCCATTTGTCTCGTGTTAAAGACACGACTCGGGTCCGGGTGCTATAGCAGTCCGGTCCACAGATTGTAGCACGCGGTGTTAATTACAGACTCCAGGTGATGATACATGGACACCAGCTGAGGAGGGGGGCCGCTGCCGGCCTGCGGCTGCAACGGCAGCGGCTCCCGAAACACGACCTTTAAACTCTGCGGGAGGAAGATGAAATCTGAGAACTTTGCATGACTTCATTATAAGAAAAAATAAGTCAGACGTGTATAAGAACTCACAGTTTTTCCAGCTTGGTTGTCCAGAAATACCAGAACGAAGCAGTCGGTGAACTTTTGGTTCAGAACAGCCTGAAGTACAAAGACACGAGTGGACGTTAGCTGGAACGAGGTGAACAGGTGTGTGCAACACAAACGTCACCGTTTTAAAGTCTGTCTCCACAGATACAGAAGAAATATGTGTTACTGCAGTTCATGTGTTGGAGCTCTCACTGAGCTCGATGCTCCATCCTCTCGCCTGTAAGTCACTCGAGGTCTCTTTTACACTCTGACTCGACTGATCTAACAATCGAGTCTGAACACGAGTGAGACTAATCAGTGTCGCATTACGTGTTGCAGGTGTTTCTAGCTCGAGTCTGCTAAATGGTCCCATTTGTGTCCAGAGAAATGCTGCTAGAGACTAACGGAGCTGTGCTTAGAGATGAAGTTTGGGGTCGTGTTTCCAATATTTTTTAAAGGGATCTCGATGACCCTGAGCATTAAAGGGAACGCCTTCATTTGGTTGTTGGCTGGTAACGTTTTGCTGCCCGTTTGTGAAGCCACAGCAGAGGGAAACTCATGGATACAGGGGCCTGTGGGTTTGCCACTTTGAACTCTTTTTTTCTCACCAGATACTGGATGCCGTTGTCGTCGAAGTGTCTGCAGCTCTGAGGGAAGCGACTGAGCAGGACCTTGATGAGACTCTGGTACCAGGCTGGACCCATGGTCAGGAAACAGTCCTGCAGCAACACATTCACACTACAGTTACAACACTGACCATCAGAAACTTTCACTGGGTTTCACCTGCAAAGACAAATATTCAAGCTGCAGACGTATCATTTAAAAGCTCCTCCTTTAACTAACAAAATCCTGAAGTCTCCTGATGTGTTAGGAACATTTACCTCCCACTCACAGCTCCTGCTAACATGTATGTGCGAGCTGATGTTTGATCTGCAGGTCACCTGCAGCTGGCTGAGGTCACAGCGAGAGACTGATCACCTCCAAATGTTTCTCATACTGTGGGAGCACCGATGCTTAGCTGTGTGCTGGTGTTGCTTTGCGTTTCAAATGACAGGGTGTCGAGCTGCTGGCGGTTCATTTGTGTCGAGCTGTGGTCTTAGTAATCAAGGTGTTTGGTATTGCTGATGTTTGACGGTCATAACCGAATCTTGATTTTAAGGCTAAAATTAGAATCTCACCAGCTGCGGGTCGATTTCCCCCACTGATCGGCTCTGCACAGCCTCCAGCAGCTCCTCCAGTTCGCTGAACGACAACTTGGCCAGCTTCAGTTTATCCAGGGCCACATGCTCGCCGTGGAACAGCCTCCTCCACAGGTTGTCCCTGCGGCAGTGACCCATGGCCTGCTCCACGCTGATCTGGATCTGTCTGCGGGCAGACGCCACCTCGTTGTTGAGAAGAGGGAACAGAGGGGAGGCGTAGAGGAGCCCCTGAGCCTCTGGTCCACCGCCTGTCAGAGGGTAAAACTCGTTGCCATCACTTGGAGCCGAGGGTGCTGAAGCTTCAGACGAACCCTCCTCCCAGAGGTCCTGCTCAGAACCACGTGACCCAGAAGCCTCTGCTCGATCCTGGGAGAGCCGTCCCCCCAGCTCTCCGGGATCACGGTGGATCTGAGGAAGCTTCTTAAAGCGGCGCATGTCTGCAGTGAGGCGTGGGAATAGCTCCCGCTGACTGGTCATGATCACGTAGAAGCGTAGCCTATGAAAGGGGACGAGATGAGACTCAGCAAAAGTTTATCCAGTGCCTTCAGTGATGTACTGTTAACACATTTGTTTGGCCCGTGAAACGTCCACCAGTCCTCTTTAGGTTGTGTCAGGACATGTCAGATAAAACAAACATGGTGTCAGCCCAGATACGAGTAACTATGACACAGCCTCTGTGCTGCAGTCTGTAGATCTTACCTGAGCAGATGCCTCTCCCCGTCTGACTGCTCCTCAAACGGAGCAGCGTTGTGACACACCACCAGGGAAACATCGAAGTCATCGTGGTGGGGCAGACCGTCCAGATCCTTGTAGGAGCCCGAACTAAAGCAAGAGGAGCCAACAAAGGTAAAGTTAAGCAGCAGATATGAGGAGAGAAGGTTTATTCTGAGGTCAGAGCTGTTTCTCCACCTGTTCCACAGAGCCACCAGGGCATACTCGTGAAGGTCAGGCATCGCCTTCTTGTTGTCAGTGGCGACCGCAGCCTTCGACATGCGGAGCGGCTTCATGCCATACGTGCTGGCGTGGTCGGTGATGTAGTTGTAGAGCTGGTGAGCCGTTATCATCCCCGTGGAGATGGAGAAGCTCCCTGATTTACACAAGAATGACAGACGCTCAGAAGGACAAACACAGTTGTTCCTGTGCACACACAGAGCCCGAGAAGCTCTGATGGAAAAACAAATATCTGCTCATCGATCCAGAACGGCTCAGAGAGCGCTGCTGGTGACCCCGAACGGAGGCGGGACACAGAGGGACTGAACTCGTCTTTCAGTGAAACTATTTCAAATATTTACTCCGAATATCATTTCAGTTGGTTCTTTTGGTTTGCACTGACCACCAGAGGGAGCTGGAGAAGACGCTAAACATGAACACAAATTCACCTGAGTAGACTTCCAGTACTCGTGCTAGCAGAGGTTAGCGAATAAACTCTGTGCTAAATCAACCACAGGGGTGGGGGGGTGAGAGGTGAGCTAAAGTTGTTTATTTCAGAACAAAAAAAAAAGTTCATGAACCATCGCTGTGGATGATTCAGATTTACCTGTTTAGCTACAGGAGTTTAACCCAAACTCACCGTGTGCACCTCGTTTGGAATTTAATCCAGACCACTTCCTCCCAAAGGTCTCGGTGCACTTATTTTTTTCTGCACGTCTGCATAGTTTAAGCCAAGACAGCAGAGTTTGTTTTTTAAAATGACCACAACTTACATAAACGTGCTGCGAATAACTTCAGTGACTTCAGCACACGGACACATTTTCAGATGCAAGTCTTTGTTAAATGAAGCTGGTGGAAAGACTTCATCTCATGTATCAGGGACCATTAGGTAAAAGGGGGAAAGTTGAAAGCCGGAGGGAAAGAATACAAATTAAAGTTATAACCTTGCACTTTTTAAGGTTGGATAAACCTAATCGCACCATAAAAATGGGGAATGCCATTCGCACTTTAGTGAGGACGTGCAGCTATATGGTGGATATAACTGGATGCTTAGTTTGTATTTCCCATCAGAACCAGTGTGTGTTTGTGTGGGCACTGACCCACAGTCCAAATGCTTCTAATCACATGATGATTTTGGGGCCTATTTTTCATTTGTCAGTTTGTTTGTTTCTGGTGAATTCGAGTTTTGTTCCCTTTAGTAAATGCTCTGTACACCGTTCACTGTGTTGCCATCTTTTGTTTACTGGCTGCTCTGGCGGCTGCTGTAAATGTTGAAAAGCTAGAAATTATGGCAGAATCAAAAAAACATTATCATCATCATCACATGGGATTCGATGCAGTCAGCAACACCAGAATCACCTTGAAAGACGTGGTTGCGGCCGAACTTGGGGATGTCCGGGTGATGGGAGATGAAGTCGTCCAGGAAGTCGGTGAGCTGGTAGCCTTGCCGTAGCGTCATGTGGCAGCCGACCAGGTACTGGTGAACCACTCGCAGGTGGAAGTCGTAGCTGAAGGAGTGAACGTGCATGGTGTCCCTGACTTTATCACACTCCTCAGTGAAGAGCATGGAGAGCTGCAACAGAAGGTTGTGAGACGGTCATCACCAGGACAGCGTGACACAGACGGGAAAAAGAAGGAGGTACTCTAACTCCAAACTCAGTCAGTCTGAATACCTCTGCAAAACTGATCTGGCAGACAGCGCTAACTCTGAATGTCTATCTGTGCGATCAGCCATGTATGAAACTGTTTTGCATCTGAAGGGGAAGGACCTGCTGTTCCAGCCACTCCAACAGAGACTGCTTTGTACAGCACACCTTAAGGCCCTGCTGCACTGCGACTCCCATCGCTCCTTACTGAGAAGCTTTTGTAAGCAACTTTGATATCAATCAGATTCATAATAATATCCTTTTTAATTAAATCCAACATCAAAAGGGAGCTGACAAAAGCAATAATTGCAAATGCAAATGGCTGCAGTGAGAGGCTGTGCTGTGCAGTTAATTACAGCACAATAAGAGTTTACAAGGAGCTCTAATTGCTACTCCTGCTTTTACTTTGATCTGGACCATTTGCCTGGAACGTGCACAAAAGCAGCTTCATTATATCAAAGAGCCAAGAAAAGACTGCACAGCGTTCTGTAGCTACAGACTTTCATCTCTTCGCCGTCTGGAACCTTTTCCTGCCTCGACACTTGTCCAGAAACTGGCAAAAGGGCAGAAGACTTTCATCAGCACCCTCACCGCAGAGATAAGAATGAGGAAGAATATTCTTTTGCACACAGGAATGAAAAGATGAATATTAACTTTTCTCTCCCCAGCGGTGTTCCTGCAGTCTGGCAGACAAATTAAGTGTGACCTCCTGGCCTGTTATCTATGGAGCCTGGAAGCCAATGGGACTGCGCGGCTCTCCTCAGTTCATAGGTAGTTCCTGTGTGTGTGTGTGTGTCCTCCTTGCTATCACGCTAACATTTATTATTTCCTAACCTGTAATCCCAAATGGTTCATGTTCTAGTTAATTAAACACTCCGTGTAACTTTGACAAGAACAAATTGCCAGTTTGAGTCGTGGGGCTGCAGCTCGTCTCCTGTCAGCGGCACTCGGTGGAAGTGAAATTAATGACAGCGGCTGCATTGACGGGAGAAGCTGCAATCAGCGAGGTCATACAAGAAGAAGAAAAAGAAGAGAATACAAAGCAAGCTGATTGAAAGAAAGACAAGCAGAGCGACGAGAGGAAAGCTCTCAGACTGTGACATCCATCGATGCGTCCCTGTGAGGCTCTGCATTTTCACTCCTGGAAAAAAGACTCACATTTCTGCAGTGGTACTATCACAATGCAGTGATCTGAAACCCAACAGGAGTAACAGCAGTTATCCAGCTGTGATGTGTGTACTACAACTGCAAACATACACTCACAGCCACTTTACCAGGTACACCTTTCCCCCTTCAGCACTGCCGTAGTGCTTTGTGGCACAGATTCGACAAGGTGCTGGCACCATTCCTCGTGGTTCACACTGACATGATAGTGTCACACGCATGCTGTAGATTTGAAGTCTCCTGTTACATCACATCCTAAAGGTGCTGTGTGGGATCAACACTTTGAACCTTTGATTACAGCAGAATCAGGTTCAAGAATCCAGTTTCAGATCATGAGAGTTTCCTGACGTGCCATGCTCTCCAGCTGGAAGACGGGTACATGGAGGAGATTCATCAGAGCAGATAAGCTTCCAAACTGTCCACTGAGCCGTGGTCTCCTGGTTTTACCTGCACGCAGCAGCACTCTGTGTGGTCTTCTGCTGCTGTAGAGCTTCTCACTTGGTGTTTTCAGGGATGCTGTTCTGCATACCTTGGTTGTAATGAGCAATTGACCGAGTTATTGTTGGCTTCCCATCAGCTAACAGGAGCTTGGCCAATCTCCTCTGACCACTGGCATTTACTGGACCATCCTCTGTAAAGCCTACAAGTGTCTGTGTTGAAAAATCGCACATTCATCACTTAAATAACATTTGCTGATGCTCGGATTGAACTTCGGGTCTTCTTGACTATGCCTACATGTCTACATGCATTGAGTTGCTGCCATGTGATTGGCCCATTAGTATTTGCAGTGTTGGTGTCTCTAATAAAGTGGCTGGTGAGTGTCTGATTCTCTGCTTATGTATTTAGTACCTGATTTTCTTAACCGTAACACCCTGAGGATATGTTAGTGTGAGTGTTGCATAGGGCTGCCACGATTTGTCGACTAGTCACGATTACGTCGACTATCAAAATCGTGAGAGATTATCTCTCGGCTGGCCTGGGAACGCCTTGGTATTCCCCC